CAAAATAATGGTGGAAGCTCAGTCAACGTATGACCAATGTCAAGACCTCATTGAATGACTCAGTTCAAACAGAACGCGTTACGAATTAAACCATCAGAGCAATCCAAACAACACAAAAACAAAGAAAGGAGGGGCAACAGAGGAAAATAGGTTCATTGTAACTATGACATGTATGTTGTATAGTGTGATCATGAAGGGGTTTCACTGAAAGCATGGAAGGTTGGAATCATTACAGTGGCGTATTACTTGGAAAAACTGTCTCTCTCGCATGTACTCTCTGCCCAGAAAAAAAAGTACTCTCATCCAAAACACTATTTCTGTTAAATTTGAGTGTAACCATATAGAAAATATTATCTGCCCGTTCGTCTTCTACCAGATGATGTATTCTGTACGTTTTGCCTGCAACTCTTGAACATCATAAAGAGGTAACATTAGGAAGCACTGCCTTCTAAATCTATTCTCTTTTCCCTCCAAATGTTGAATGAAGAATAAATAAGTTCAGAAATAGAAGTAAGAGATAAAAAAAAAGGGTGACGAGATGGAAAAAGGTAGCGATACAAACTAAGAAAATGAATAAAAAAATAAACATTCACGAAACAGACAAGAAGAGAGTATAAACACACACACACACAAACAAACACATACAAAGAGAGAGAAAAATAGAGAGATGTATATATGGTTACGTGTCCAGTGGCAGTGTTGGGAGGAGCCGCGTGAAGAGTGCGGTCTTCTCTTAGCTGCCGGCATGCGGATCGACGCCGAGTAGCTCGTATGGATCGTACCACAACGGAATCGGCATTCCGGCACATCTGCCGTTTAGTGCGTTGAGAATGGCCACGCGCCACGATACTTGTGCCTCCTCGCAGAGCTGCCGTTTCTTGTTAAGATACGAAATGGTGTCGTGCTCTATACTTGACGAGAGCGGTGGGGCCCGCAACTCACACGGCAGTGCAGCGCAGAGGGCGGTGGAAACACACAACGCCGATGTACCGCCGCCTACACTGTCGCCCAGCGACGCACGCAGCGCCTCTTCCATCGTCCCCACACGTCCTCTTTTTATTCCACGTTGTTCTTGTTGTTGTAGTTGTTCTTGTTGTTGCTGTTGCGCTCCTGTCTCTCGTGAGACGGCTAGTACGTAGCGCTCCTCCAGTGTTGAGACGAGCGTTTCCCACGTCTTCTGTTTTTCTGCAGGTATCATATCAAGCGCACGCATCCACTTCAGATCTCCGCCGCTGTTTCCAACCAAGTCCCGCAGCCACGACTGCTGGCTGCTATGACCCCAAGCCGTAAGTTTCATGCGGAGTATTCGATCAATAAGGTTCATCAGTCCATTGGCATCCTTTAACCGTACAAGGGTACCGACAAAACGACGTAGTACGACTATACCACCACCTCGCTCAAAAACGTCTTGAATTTTTTCACTGGATTTTATCAATATATTCATAATTATAATAAAATGATCAGGTATTTCAGATGTCTCGCAGAAGCGTACAAAAGCTAGTATCATATGAGAACGTTCTTCAGGGAACTCAAGAGTTGGAGACCCACCAGTGATCTGTGTCAGTTTTGCAAGCCACTGCAAGTGTCTATACTCATCTACTGCTTGTTTTCCAGCAACAAGCACTGGTGGTCCTTTCATGCTTAATTTTGTTGGTACCTTTACAGGGGCTTGTCCACGCGGAAAACCAACAAAAGGGGCTATCGGACTACTACCATTACCACTACCATTACTAATAGCTGCTGGAGAAGTAGTTGTAGTAGTGATAGAAGTAGAAGTAGTTGTAGTAGTAGTAGTAGTGGTAGTATTATTAATGTTAACAAGAGCACTGCTTTCCCGCACATTTTGTACCACTACTGGTACCTCTAGAACGGTTGACTCTATGTTGTACCCTGCGCCTGAGCGGAGATATGTCTCAATCTTTAAACGTCGCTCCTCTGCAGAAGGAAAGCGAACATTAGAAGCTAACTGATCCCCTTGATAGCGGGTGCCTCCTTTTCGCCAATCCAAAAACTTTGTGTTGTATGTTTGTTCTGTCAGTATAGTGGGTGGAACTCTTGATTCATTTATAAGGAAGAGAATAAATTGATTCACAAAACCTTCCCAACTAGGTCTATCGGGACCAGGACGAAGTCGATCGTACAGTAATTTGAGCATATCACATGATGCCGCAAAGCAGATAGCCAATTCCCCTTTATTTCGCCAAGTAAAGCGTGCCATTGCCCTACCTGCCTTCTGTGCTTGCTGTCGTTGATGTGTATATTCGTGCCGAAGCTGTGTTATAAACATCTCCACAGCAGTTCGAAAATAATCCACAACGCGGTAGCGCCCTTCTGGGAAATCATCGTAGTTTGCCACAATACGACGCAAAACACTTCCCGCTCCTGCTGGTACATCAATCCAGCCAACATCTGTTTTCTCAAAAAGCAATTTTGGGTTCAATTGCACACGACGAATACCAGAAGATGATGTCTGTCGTGATACTGCACGAACACCTGTGATTTTCTTTTCAACATTCTCTCTTGAAGAGTTGGACGAGCCGCTGCTGGTGCCGCTACTACTACTACTACCACTGCTGCTGCTGCTTCTGCTGCTGCTGGGAGAGGAAGATGAAGGTGAGAGAGATGATGAGGAAGATGAAGCCGATGCTGAAGGCATACTATGTGTTTCTCTATCTCCTGCTTTTCCTTCTTCCTTTCGATCGAAAGCGCGTAAAAGAAAGGGGAGGGGAGGGGAGGGGAGGATAAGTAAACTAAAGAATGATTTAAAGAGGAAAAGAAAAAGAAAAAAAAAAAACATATAGAGGAACAAAATCTGATACCGCAACATTGACTCAATTTGATAAAGGAAAAATTATGCATCCTTTTGGCAACTGGTTTCTTTATTTGTTTCTTTTTTTTTTTCTGTTTGTATTTTGCAACACTTGTCATCTGTTTAAAAAAAAAAAGTTACCACTAACCAACAGTACTCTGAGAGGGAAGAGAATCGGCATTATTAATATCATTACCCCTCCCCCTTTTAAGAAGATAAGGATGTCTGTGTAAGGATGTCTTGGAGAATACATATCTGATGCTGCAGTTGAAGAAAAAGTCGACGCTCCGCGAGACGACCACTCATGTCTATACTTTGCGTAACAAAAGATGGTATCTGTACTTCTCTTTCAATATCACAAGATACCAGACCAGTGCCATTAGAATAAGAAAAAGAAGAAGCAGCAGCAATATACAGCATATTGCGAAGAAGACTCTTGCAGAGATATGCTGAATCTCCTTCGTGCACACCATCGCAAGAAGAGCAAAAAGCAGCCTTATACATTCGCAATAATATGAGTGGATTGTGCGTCGATGGTGAAATGTCACCGTTATCAAGAAGAGTCAATGACATCATTTGAGTGAGCGGCAACAAGCGTCTGTCATGGAGTAGAACTGAAAAATCAAGTGACTCCATTCGTTTTCCTTCTTAGATTTTTTAAATGTCAAACAGGACAAATAATATTATAAGGAGAAGACTCACGTTTCCCCATATCGTAACAATCCTTTCGAATGTCAGAGAAACAACGCAGTGAATACCAACCCCCAATGGTAACTCAATAAATAAACTGACCAAAATAATAATAATAATAATAATAAAAGATAAATAGAAATAAAATAAAAAAAATAAATAAATATATAAATAAATAAATATATATTATACGATATATGAAGCTCTGAATCAATCACCGTCCTCAACAGTACTACCACCTAATTTATGAGATTCAAAATGTTCTACAAGTACCTCTTCTAGTACATGTTCATCTTCATGCAAGTAATTGGTTGCACGTTGGGCCACTTCCCGCAGCTGAATAGAAACCTCTTGAATATCGCACAGTTCAAGTACAGCAATAACGTCTGGGTAGGTAGAGAGCATTAATTTCCGATTCTCTGGAAATGAAAGTAAATTCGCTATTATCATGGCACATGGTAAAGCCATGAACATACTCTCTAACGCACGTTTAATATATTTAGGAAATCCAATATCAGTATCACTTACTTTGGTATGGATACTATGATTTTGAGGAGTTGTTTTATCTATTACAGAATGGGATGGAGAACCAGTATGCATTAGACGATATAGTTTTTTTGAACTTCTTCTAACTATCCCTGAGTTTAGAATATGTAACAATGTATCCATAGCGAAAAACATAATTCTACGAGTTCTTGCAAGTTTAAAATGAAGTTTAGGATGACCACAAAGGTTCACAAATAAGTAAAGAACATGTACCGAGAGACATGAAGGGACTTGACGATCTTCTAATAAATCTTGAAGCGCCTCAAAAAGAGTTTCTTCAAATACAAGAATAGAACACACATGAGAGAGTTCTGAAATGCGTCTTGCCAACAATACAGCCACTTCATTCAGTTCATTATGTGTCTTGTCGTATAATGCACACACTAGCGCATTTACGGTGTTAACATCCATTAGAAGTAGTTCATCCAGTCCCTCTTCCTCTCCAAGCAAGCGAAGATAAATAGAGAAAATATGTTGACGTAGTTTTGCACCTGATGTGGTTGGTTCTGCCTGTGTGAGAAGATACTGTAATGTAAACACCAGCTGTCGGCTCTGTGGCAATACACTACCACCCTTCGCCTTCACTTCATTTACGCAGCGAAGGACAACTCTCGCACACCACAACTGTTTTTCAATTTTCACTTTGGCAGCTGTGGCCTGCTGTAAAACACTATCTAACTTGCTGAGATCCCACGGGAGTTTGTCGGGGTGTTTTTCATCAGGACTCCGCCACTTATCACGTCCTGCATAAGTCATTTGCTCCTTCTTTCTTTCTTTCTGTTCTGATCTCGCCTGTATTTTTTTTTTTTTTCTTTTCCTCCTGCATCAAACACGGAGAAAGCGAAAAAAAAAAAAAAAATGAGAAAGGGGAAAGAGAAACCACCATGGAAAAAAAAAATACCACGTTTAATATCCCCCGGGGGAAAAAAAAAAAAATAACAAACCGTTATTCTTTTTCTTGATTCTGTTTTAGTTCCATCACGTTGTAATTCTTTTTGTTTCTTTTTTACTCTTTTTTTTTTCAGCTTCACTGACAGAAACTCAAACAAATATGAATGGTTGCAGAACAAATAAACACTCCACTATCGGAACTCATTTCCATGTAAATAGATGGAGATAGAGGGAGAGAGAGAAATATATATTTATATACACGGACAGTCTAATTCAAGGTATAGGAACCTTATACTTGTAATCACCGTAAATATCATTAACAACAACACTGTGCCTTTTTCATTTACTTTTTCCTCTTTCATTACTGTCTCTGTTCTAACGTTACAAGACTAACTTTTCCAGTTCTTGGGTCGTATACTGTAAGTCTAACTTCTCGTCCCGCCTGAAGAACTGCTGTAGCAAAGTCCTCTTTCCGCGTTGTAGGTGTTTTGCCAACGTGAGAAATAATACAATCAGGTCCAATATGTACTGTTGCTGCCGCTGATCCCGGTGTTACTTGAGTAACAATCACACCTTCCACTTCATCACCGCCATCGCGTACCAAGAGTCCCAGTAGTGTTGTGTTCTCAACGTCTGGGGTGATTCCCCCGCGATTGTGTGGGTTCACAACAGACGAGGAGAGAAATGTATTCTTCTCATTAGATATTGTCAGACCCGATGAACTTCTCATTATTTGTGTAATAGCCCGCTCCATACTCTTTACCCGCTCACACAACACATCAATCTCCACCTTTGGTACTAGTTGCTGTTCCACCAATTCCACTCGACTCGCCGAGAGTGCACATTCTGCTAAAACACTATGGGCCACTTCTAGTGGTTCAGTTTTCATAAGTTCAAATCCTTTCGATATGTAATTAGTGTACGCATCCGTTATTTTACACATCTCTTTTTGAGATTCTATACCTAATTTATTAATATCTGTTTTTAGTCGTCCCACTTCCACATTCATGGATTCCAACCATTCCATGCGCAGCGAATTTAACTCCTCTCGTGTCCGCTCTACTGTATCTCTCACTACACGATCTCGAAACTCCATCATTTCTGTAGAGGTGCTAGTCTTCATCTCTCTTAAACGTTTTGAACTTGTAGCCATGGCGATATCATTTATTTTCTTTAGATCGGTTGCATAGGCACGCAAGGAGGCCTCCGCCGTTTGAAGAACCTGTTCTTGTGTGTAGAGACCATTTTTATTTATCTCGGCAACTCTCTCATTATCTTTTTGACCCGACATCACTGTTACTGCTGATACCTGATCAGCGCTGGATGGTACGACAACATTTTGTTTCTTCATAGGGGCGACAACAGAATCAAAAGGTGCCGAGCGAAGTTCTTTTTTAAACAGTTCGGTATCATTAGCGTGGGCTACGAGTAGACTCACAACATCCAGAAGATACGGCGGACATTTGCCGCTTTTCACGAGGAGATCAAACTTGCGGTTGAGAGCCTCCGTCATTGTAGATCGATAGAAATACAAATATAAATATAAATATATGTATGTATATGTATATATGTATGTGTAAATATAGAGACGTATGACTATGAATCTCGGAAAAAAAAAAGATTAATCCAAGGTAAACGATAGAACAACTAAAGAAAAAAGAAAAACCAAATTAAAGAGAGGAAAAAAAAACAATACAAAAACAAAGAAACACAAACTTCATGTGAGAGAAAGAAGACTTTCTTCATCTCTCATTATTACAATGATTTTCAACTGATATATAAATAAATAAATAAATATATATATATATATATATATTCGTTTGTTTCTCTTTGCTTCCTTATTTTCTCTTTTCAAAGTGTCACGGTGCAGTTCTCTTTCGCCTGTACCTTTTGCAAAAGTTTGTTAAATTGCTGCATGCACGTCTCTGCAACGGGGAGATCGAGTGGTATCCTGTCCTTTGCGATGAGAACAAAACGTGTCTCTCGCTCCAGCATCATCTCAAGAAGAAAACAGAGAGCCTTTTCCGACACTTTCGTCTCACTAATATCCAGCAACTCTATTTCTGTGGTCGCCGGCACAAATCGCAGTACATGCGCTAAAAAAATAATTGAACCATCGTCCACATAACGATTGCGTACAGCGTAGAGTCGTCTACAATCACTCAGATGACCATTAGCTAGTGCAATGACGATAGGAAGAAGTGGAACATCGGTGAGAACAACATCTTCTGAGATGGAGTTTAGTACACTCATAAATGCGTTTCTACCCTCCTTTTCTGTTTCCCGTGCGAAAACACTAAACATTTGATCTATCGTGTCTTGCATTCTCGCAACAGCCTTACGAGTCCGCTCTAACTGCGTATTTTCTTCAGTAATGTTATTCCGCAGTGTTGCGGCTACTCGTTGCAACTCTGAAAGGGTTTTGCGATCTCCGTCACTATACATTTCTCAAACTGCAAATAATGTCAATTTAGTTTTTTTCCTTTTATTTATTATTTATTATTATTATTATTATTATTATTAATATTATTGTTGTTTTACACTGTATTTCCTTCCCTCTCCCTTCTTCTCCCTTGCACGACTACAGAGAGAGAGAGAGAGAGAGAACTTCTTCTCAAAGAGAAACTGTTTCCTCCACGAGATGTTTGTGTATATATTGGAGAATGAAGTAACCTTTTCAAAACACAGATGCACATACACAGATAATCAAGGAAGAGAGAACAACAACAAGAAAAAAAAAAAAAAACATAAAGAAGCAGAAACAGCAATCTTTCCAAAATATATAAACATATGTACATATACCATCATATACAAGAAAGGCAATACATCTACCATCTGCCATACCAACACTTTCTCTCTCCCACACACTCACACCCTCTCTCTCTTTCTTTCTTTCTTTCGCCTTCCACTTCTCCCCCTTTCTCACTCAAGTGAACCGGCTATAGTAGCAAGCTTCATGTTCCCTACACAAAACCAAAAGAAGTGCATACACCCAGCAAACATGAAAAAATTCCAATAAAAAACAAAGTTATAGTTGCAACAGTGTGTGGCCAACCAACGGCACTCGGCTTGTAGAAACCACACCGCATCGCAAACATTGCAGGAAAAACAAATGACACCAGACCACCAAAAACACCACCAAGAAAATCAAAGAGAACACGCACATTAGGCACTACAAGACCAAGAATAAGAGCTAAAAGAGCAAGTATTGTAGATACTATAGCCGAAACATGTGCGTTTTCGTTCTCTGTAAATCCCAATACCATTAACACAGAATCCCTTGTCGGGAATATAGTCATTGGAAATGCCATCGTTACAGTAACAGCTAATGCAAGGAATGCGATAGCAATATAAGGTTTATCAAGTTCATTCGTGTAATTATGCATAACATTAGATTCTATTTGTGAACCAAAATCAGCTGCACCAAACGCACCTGCCATAATGTACATCAATGAACAAGATCCCATTGATAACGCAGCAGCTGTAGTAATCTTAATAGGGCTTCCTTTTTTCATTTCGGAATATATTTTAGAAACTACAGTTTGGCAACATACAGAAAATATAAAGGTATTAAAAGAACTTAATGTATCACGTTCTACCTTTATAAGAGGTAATGTTTTCAATGATGTTCCACTTTCAATGGCATGAGTACAAATAGCTCCTACAAGTACCATTGTTGACATGGCACACACAAGTGAAGCATAACGAAGAGAATTAATACTACGCGTTAGACACAAAGGTAACATGATAAATAACCAAAACAAAAAAACTGCCGTTCGTCGATTAATATACGGCGTTAAGTGAAGAGATGTAATCATAGAATCAAGAATATCGGCCATCACTACAATATAAACTACTGCTACACCCCAGCAAAACATTACAATAATAAAACCAGTGACCTTTTCAAAAAACTGTCCAAAACAGTAACATGCCATCTCTTCATAGGTTGAATTTCCTGTAACTTCAATAACAAAAGAAAGTAAATAGACACTATAAACAGTTGAAATAACACATACCAAAAGAACAATAGAAGACAATAATAATCCACTGTGGTATACGGCATGCGGTACAGCCAACGTACCAGCGCCAAGAGTAGCTGAAGTAAGATTAAAAGCGCTGGCTATCATTCCTCCATTAGAAATATAAAAGAATCTTTGCTGTAAATGTGGTGAAAAGGTATGAGATAACGACATGGATCTCGAATGACGTGGTGAAAACGGTGTAGAAGCACGCCGTGACTCCATTGGATGAAGTGAGAGAAGCGTAGTGAATTCACTCATTGGGAGTTGTGTACGCTTATATGTCGGCGAGCCCCCTTCTGTATTATCCATCCTCTCCACACCACACCACCTGGGGCTTTTTTTTATTTTGTGAAAAGAAAGGCACAGACAAAGAAAAAAAAAGAGAAAAAAAGTATGAACAGAATAATAATAATAATAATAATAATAATAATAACACAAAAAAAAGAAAGAGAAAAATGCAGTAACAGATCTGAAGAATCCTCCCATTTTCATAAGCTCTCTTGTTCTCTCACTTGGAGAAAAACCATATACACAAGTCAAACTTCTTCCACTCATTTAGCGTCGCCGTTTCTTTCCAGCTGTTTGTGTCTTTGCAGTATCTGTCAGTGAGACATCTTTCAGATTCACCTTGAGATAATCTAGACGAATAGTCTCTGCGTGTCCTGTTCCATCCCTCACCTCAACAGTAGGGTCCTTTAGTAAAATAGTCCACACCCCATCATGTGCACGGTATACAGGGAACGTCGTTCCGTCGTCTAACACATCACAGTGAAGTGGCGCAGACAAATCCGCATCACGCATCCCTGCAGGCGCGGGAAACATCATACGTTTTGGTGCAGTCGAAAGAGATGTAACCACACCGCTATTCTCACCCATATTATTATTATTACTGTTATTACCAGCACCAGCAGCAGTACTACTACCAGCAGTATCAGTACGGTTCTTTCCCTCTCGCGATAAAGGGAAGGGTGAAACCACACGCACCTGTGATGTAACAGGTGCTTCCGCTAATGTTCGATCCATGGCCTGATCAAATATATCCCACAGCTGTTCTTTTTGTCGCTCACTCAAACTGCACACAGACTCGAGTTCCGACAACGTCGAAGCAAGAGCAACGCCCAATAAACTCTCACGGTACATCACAGCTAAAAAGAAGGAGAGGGAGAGGGAGGAGTGAGAGAAAAGCAACTATACTTGTTAAATTAGATATATCCAAAAGAGAAAAA